AGCTGGAGGACATTATGCTCAGTGAAATAAGCCAGGCAGAGAAAGACAAGTACCAAACGATTTCCCTCATTTGTGGAGTATAACAATGAAGCAAAACTGAAGGAACAAAATAGCAGCAGACTCAGAGACTCCAAGAAGGAACTAGTGGTTACCAAAGGGGAGGGGTGTGGGAGGGTGGGTGGGGAGGGAGGGAGAAGGGGATTGATGGGCATTATGCTTAGTACACATGGTGTGGGGGATCACATGGAAAACAGTATAGCAGAGAGAAGGCACATAGTGAATCTGTGGCATCTTACTACACTGATGGACAGTGCCTGCATTGGGGTATGGGTGGGGACTTGATAATATGGGTAAAGTAGTAACCACATTGTTTTTTCATGTGAAACGTTTATAAAAGTGTATATCAATAGTACCTTAATAAAAAAATTTTTTTAAAAAAGAAAATTCTCAGCCATTATCTCTTCAGTGATGCTTCTGTCTCATGTTGTTCATTTCCTTCCTGTCCCCCGCTGACACGATAAAATATCTTGCAATATTCTGTATGTCTTTTATCTTGTCTGTATTTCAATCTGCCCTTTCTCCATTTCACTAATTCTCTATTTAGTTCTAATCTGCTGTTATACTGACTCATTACTTCTTAAAATTTTTTTTACAAAGGAATAAACTGAACATATTTAAAGTGTGGAACTGATGAATTATAGTGAATCCATCACCACAATAAAAACAGTGAAAGCGTTCATTAACCCAAAAAGCTTCCTCAAGCCCTTTTGTAATCTACTGCATTGAGCTTCAGTTATTGCATTTTTCAAAAAGTTCTAAAATTCTAATTTGATTCCTTTTAAAAAATGCTGTCCTTTATTACAGTTTCCCAATCTCTGCTGAAATTTTCAGCTTTGTCTTTTAAGGTCTTAGACACAATAAGTGCAGTCAGCTCTTGGCCTCCTTCCTAATAGCCTCTCCTGCTTCCGTACTTGCCTCTTCACAGGACCTCCTCCACAAAGAGCAAGAATGATCCTTTTAACACAAACTTCTTCATGGCTTCCCTCCCTCCCTGTCCCCCACTGTTCTCCCCGAGCTCACTCAGCTACAGCCATGCTGTCCTCTGTGCAGTTCTCTGAACAAACCAAACCTTTTTCTGCCTCAGGAACTTTCTACTTGCTGTTTCCTCTGTCTGGAATATTCCTTCTCTGAACAATCACAATGCCGGCCCCTCTCATTACTCAGACCTTGTGCTAAAATATCACTGAAGCCCTCCCTCAAGAGCCTTTTCCTTTTTTAAAGGAGCCTTTTCCTCCCTACTCTCTGTCCTTCCCTAGGTTCATTTTCTTCATAACATTTATGACTATTTATCACTTATTTGTTGTCTGTAGTTACAAGGTCCACAGGGAGGAAATGTCTGTTTTGCTCACTGCCACACCCCAGCACCTACAATCGTGCCTACAGGTACTCCAATGTTTGTTAAGGAATACATGAAAAAATATCTCAGTCCACAGTACAAGCCCCCCCCACAATACAGCACATTGCATTAGCACCTACAGAGCTTAGCAGTAACAGTTATTGAGTGCAGACCCTCAGCTATGGATGTTCTCAGAGATGATCTTTCTCAAAAGATCCACAAGGTCTCTGTGTCACGACCAAGCTGAGCAAGTGTTGCAATGATCCATTGTCTAAGAGTTGCTATGCAAGAAAACAGGAGCCTGGAGGCCAATAAGAAGGGGACAGAATCTCTTTCCTCTGCATCTAGCTATGTCCCAGGAATGAATAGGGCAGCATCTTACTGAAGCACCAAGTTCTCAGAAGGGAAAGAGGAACAAACAGCAGACTATTCCTTCATCTCTGTACATGGTCCCTGATATAAACAAACAAACAGGGTTCCTTTTTTAAGGCCTTGCTTTACTAGTCTTATTGGAAAAAATCAGCAAGTGTCAGAAAAATCTGAGCATTACTTTCAGGCAGCTGTTGACAAGGATACAGAGGAAGGGTTAGGCCTTCATGGTGAAGTGAAGTCAGATCAGCACTGCCTCTAACTAACAATGGAACTTGGGCAAATCACTTCCACTCAGAATCTCAGTGACATTTACTGCACAATGAGCATAATTCTTCCTACCATCCTTGGTAACTGAGGACTTAATAAAGTGACAGTTTCTAGAAACTGCCTAACAGAACTGTTGGACAAATGTTAGTTCCACTCCTTTTCCACTCTGAGTATAGAGCTTTCACTTGGCCACTCCAAATATACACATAAGAGACACAACACATTTGTGAAACTCTGATTCAGTTAGGTCAATACCTTTAGCTTCTTTAGTTCAAGTTGGTGATGTTGTAAAGAATGTTCACATTCATTCTTACTTTCTTTAAGGGCTGTGTTTTCTTGCTCCAGCTCTCTCTGCAAATTGAGAAAAGCATATATAAAATGGAAAAGTCTTTACCATACTTCCTCTGGGCACTGTCCTACAGACAGGGAACCTTTAAAAAATGCCTCTGTTGTCAGTGCAGGGGTGGGAGATGACAGTGGAGGCGGGGTCAGAGAGCGAGCCACCTGGCAAAGTCCTCTCAAGAAGGAACATGGCAATGAATTCTGAAGGATGGAACAGGGAGAGGGACCAGGCAAAGGGAGTGCCATTGGGAGGAGTAAATTTTGGAAAGACAGTGGGAAGAAGCTGAAGGGACTGGTCAGGAAGCAGTGGGAAGCCCTAGTGCAGCCCAAAGAAAAAGATAAGCCATGTATTTGTGTTTTAAAAGAAGCCTTTTTACATCCAGTCTCATAGGCAGATGTCTTATTGGAAAGATAAGAACTGCTCCAAAAAGTGGTCTCTTAGTTCACAGGGGGTGGTCTTTTTCCTGTCCAATTACTTGGCAGCCCAGCCCATTCCCTTCCTCACTCACCACCTTGTGCTCTGCGGCCGTCTGGCTGGCCACCCGTGCCTTCTCGAGAGCAGCGAGCTGGGCCTCCAGCGCACAGACACGCTCCGTGCACTGCTTCTCTAGAGTGAGGACCTGCTGCTGCGCGTGGCTGCCCTCCTCGTGTGCAGCGGCCTGCAGGGGTCCCAGAAGACAGTCAGTCATGGTGGCAGTGGGGGGTTGCTCTGTTTCTCAGTGACCCAAAGATTGGTGTCCAGTGGAAATAACTCCTTCCTGACCTTCTCTGGCCTGGGGGCTGCCAAGGTCCCCACCCACAGCTCTGCCTACTGCCCCTGGTCCTGGCTTGTTCAGGAGTTGGAGTCTGAAATTGGTCTTGGTGCTGGGGAGACAGCACTGGGCAGCACCAAGTCCTAAGACACAACCTTCCTTCACCCTGCTCAGGGCTCCTTTGATGGCCGAGGCTTTTCCGTGGGAGGCAGTACAACAGGTGATGAAGAACAAGGGCTTTGCAGGTCCTGACTCCCTCTACCTGCAGCTGCCTACTCCCCCGCTCACAACCAGCACAACATCTGTATCTAAGGGCAGGCCCAGCTACCACTCCAGAAGTTGGGAATGAGTTGGGGGCAGCTGCAAAGGCATAAGAGAAGGCACCAAGGGCCTAGAACACAGCAGCCACACAGTTACTCACAAGTGCCTGAATCTGGGCCTCCTGAGCTGCCACGACGTCAGCACTCTGCTTCAGCCTCTCCTCGGATGCCTGCAGGCTCTGCTCTAGCTCTTCCACCTGCGTGGCAAATGGAAGCAGCCTCTCATCCAAAAGAAGCAAGACGGCCAACAAGTGGCTTCAAACCCAAATCGATTTAAACCATAGAACAGGTATATCACAGAAAAATTTTAAATTAAAGGAAAGATATCTATAAGTTTACAATTATAAAATGATAAAACCCTGGATTTTCTTCCAATCTGTTTTTTTTCTTCCAATCTGTTTTTATGACTATTTTTGGTTTTTACAATTTTATAAATGATCCTAAGACTTTGTATTTTTCCTCCTCACTCAGGTTCCCTTGCATTCAGAACTTAGATCCATTCCTTAAAGGCTGTTTTATAATTTACTGAACCGCCTCCTACTATGGTAGCATTTCAGTTGTTTTCCACTTTCCCATCTAAAATAATGCATCAGTTGACAACTTCATGCAATATTTTTTTTACTTGGTCTGAATCACTTCCTTAGAATAGATGCCAGAAGTGGGATTACTGGTATGATACAAATTTAGGTTTCACTCATTCCACAAACACTGGCCAAGTCTGACCCTGAACTAGGACTGGTCCAGTGGACAGCACTGGCCAGCACTGAGCTAGACTTGGCTCTCCAATGTGGCATTTTTATCTGATTTGAGCTATCTTTACCAATTTATCTTATGAAGTCCTCTTGTTTGCTGAACAAGATCTGACCTTAGGGAACTTTATTACTAGAACATAAGCACAAGGAAGGCTGCAGGCTTGTCGAGGAGAGGTGGGTACCTAACGAGGGAAGGATGTTAGGTCTCGTGGTCCCTCACAGACATTAGCCACGTAAGATTTAACTGAAACAACCCCATGAGAATAGTGTATTTCTGCAGAGGGAAACAGTAATGTTACTTGCCCATGATCATAGATTTTAGTAGTGGTAGAGCCAGGAGTGAAACCTAGCTTTTTTAACTCCTGGGTTTAGAAAATACCTACTCAAGTCCCAGAGCTCAAAATTCAGATCCTCAAAAGGTTCAGCACAGAGTTATCATATGACCCAGCAATTCACTCCTGGTATATTCCCAAGAGAAGTGAAAGAAGCCCTCAAAAAAACCTTGTTCATAGCACTACATTATGTCCACAACAGCATTCTCCATAACCAAAAGGTGGAAATAACCCAAATGTGCATCGATAAATGAATGGATAAACAGAACATGGTATACACTTACAAGGTAATGTAAGCCTTAGAGAAAGGAATGAAATTCTGACATATGCTACAATACGGATGAACCTTGAAGACGTTAGGCTAAGTGAGATAAGTCAGACACAAAAGGACAAATACTGTATGAGTCCTCTGATACGATGAACCTGGAGTAGTCAAATGCATAGAGACAGGAAGTAGAATGGTGGTTGCCAAAGACCGGGAAGGATAGAATGGGGAATTATTGTTCTAATGGGCACAGAGTTTCAGTTTGAGAAGATGAAAAAATTCTGGACATGGATGTTGGTGATGGTTGTACAACAATGTGAATGTACTTAACGCCACTGAACTATGCACTAGAAATGGTTGAAATGGTAAATGTTATGTATATTTTACAAGAAGAAAATGGTTATTCAGAAATACTTAGAACTGAATTACAATAAAACAAAGTTGTATTTAGAGAAAAATATACCTTTAAGTATACTTATCAGGAAATAAAGATTTTTAAAATGTGCTAGCATTTGCTATGGTCTAAACGTTTGTGTCCCCTGCCAATTCATATGCTGAAATGTGATGTGATGTGATTTTTTTCTTCCAATCTGTTTGGAAGGCCTTGATGTGATGGCATTAGGAGGTGGGGCCTTTGGTAAGTTCTTAGGTCATGAGGGTGGAGACCTCAGCAATAGGATTAGTGCCCTTAAACAGAAGGGCCCCACAGATACCCCTACCCCACTTCACCACTTCACCACTTTGCTCTCATTAAACTGGCAAAAATGTAAAAGGCCTGGAAATGCCAATGCTGGAAAAGATGGAAATGCAGATATGGGAACGTTCATACATGCTGGAGAGGTAAAGCCAAGTGCAGCCCTTGGGGCACTCCTGTCCTGTTCAGTCACATCAGGTCATAGGCACTGTCCAGCCTCCCTCCATATGGTGGCAGGGAAAAGGATGTTCACTGCAGTGTCACCCATGGGGACAGGAAGAAGGCAATCTGGATGTCTAGCATCTAGCAGGTAACTACAGTAGAGTAGACAAGTACAATGAAGGGGACACAGGTAGAAGGGGGAGCAGTTCACAGTTACAGAGGAGACGTATGTAAAGCTCTATCAATTATATAAATTAACAGGTGCACAAAAAACAATGCCACCCATTTTAAGGTAACCCAACAATAAAAGGATTTCTCTTAACCACATTAGAATGTTTTCCTGTAGGAGAGAGAGGGATGGAGATAAAAGAGAAAACAAACAAACAAGAGAACAACTTTGTGGGGGACAATGATGGCAATGTGGCAATAAAGAAGAAAACAAGTAACTCAACCCCATATAAGTAAGATCCACCACAGTCCCTTCAAAAGAAAACCTCCAACCCAGGGGGACTCTCAGCCACAACGTCACCCAGCCAGGTCACCACCTGGACCCAGGGATTACTGGGGTAAGTCCAGTACCTGAGTCTCCAGCATGTCTATGGTCTCAGCCTGGCTGCCTCTAGTCGCCAAGGGCTTCGGCCTGGTGTCCCCCAGAGTCTGATCAGCAACTGTTCTCTGTGAATTGAAAGAGGAGTGGAAGAAAGCAGTTATTTTTCTATTGAATAAATATTGGTATTTACAACATACTATGACTGGTGCGAGGCACATGGGACACAAATACGTTAGAAAAAATAGCTAATGAGGCAAAATTCATATATAATGAATTATACAAAGGTAAATTTCTAAAATGAAAGTCCCTTGACCTTGAAGCTGGGGCAAAAGACTAAGAGAAAAGTTATATAATAGAATGCAGTAAGTGGCCACCAAGAAGCCGCACAGAGCAGGAGCCACTCATTGCCTTGGGCAGTGGGAGCCTTCCTAAGCCACAAGAGGCCAGGGTGGGAGCACCCAGGCAGAGGGAAGACCAATGCAGGAGTGAGACCCCCTGGGACATTCGGGGAGCTACAACCTGCCAAACTGAAGCAATAGTGGATTCAGGTCAAGAACTAAGACTAGAAAGTTAAGCAAAGGGTCAGATCATGAGAAGCTTTTTATGCGGCAGAAAGGAATTTAATTTATTTCTGTATACAATATTTTTTAAAGTGGGAGCATTACATTTATTTAGTGGGGAAGTTGTTGATTTGGGGACTTACTCCAGGCCTAAGGAAATCAGAATTTCTGGGGGTAGGGCCGAAGATACACACTTTAAACAAACTCCCCAAGTAACTCCTATCACATTAAACTTTAAAATAATGATGATGGCACAACAGTAATGATTATAATATTAATAGCCGAAATATACTGCGACTTACCATGTTCTAAAGCCTCAGTCTAAGCACTTCACATACGGTAACCCATTTAATCCTAATAACGATTCTTTGTGTTTGGTAAAATTATTAACCCTAGTTTACAGAGGAAAAAGCAAACACAAAGAATTAAGTTACTTGCTCTAAGTAAAAAATTAGTAAGTGGAAGAGGCAAGATACAAACCTAGGCAAGTCAATTCTGGAAATCAATTTATACCCCCAGGAACCCACGTTGTACTCCCTGTAGACTGCAGGGGAGTGGAGGAAGATGTTTAAGGGAGTGATATGGTCAGAAATGTTGTTCAGGAAGATCAGTTTGGCAGTGAGCGTGACAGCCCGTCTCCAAGGGTGAAGGAGGAGAGACTGATGCTACGCAGGCCAGTCTGGAGACTTCTAACAGAGACTAAGCTAGAGCTGCTGGAAGCCCTGAAGTGCAACAGTGGCAGTAGAGATGGAGCTATTTAGCTGAAACTGACTGAAGACAGAAAGTGAGGGTCTCATCTAGGCCCAAGGCCTTGGCTTTGTCACCTTTTGTCACAGTGAGGCCAATCACTGGGATACAGAGAGGAGCAGAATGTGGGCAGACAATGAGCTCAGACCTAAGGAGAAGGCAAGGTTACCCACACCACCAGGCAAAAGGCCTATCTGCTCAATAGCCTCCCTCAGCTAAGGAGAGGCCACCTGCTGCTCGAGGCAATTCCAGCTCATACTAAAAGCAGATGGTGACTATTTCTCTTGGTCAATGGAAAGTACAGAAGGGTGGAGGATGAGAGCAGTAAGACAAGACTGCCCAAGTGGCAAAAATCACCAGGTGCAATTTATCAGTGATCAGGATGCTAATGTTCATATGTGTCTCTGAACAAAGCTCTCCCTGTCTTGAGGAAAACATGTTCAAAACAGAGACCTAGTTACCTCTTTCAGGAATTCCCATACATGTTCTTCCCCTGGTAAGTTCTGCTCTAGTCTCTTCTCCAAGGACGCAACGTTCTCTTGCAAATCTGTGATGAGTTTTTCTTTCTCTTGAGATTCAGCAGTGGCCTGCAGGTGAAAACAGAGATACCATTACTCTGTAACACCTTTCTCTCCCCTCCCATCTCCCCTTGGAACATCACATTCCCCTGAAAGTCTGTTCTCAACTGCATCCTAGAACATACAGCCAGGAAATCTTCCCTGAAAATGGGACATAGAAGATGTAGTATCAGAACCCAGCACCACTCAGACATCCAGTTCAGACCTAGTGTAGCAAGAGGCAAACACTCATCCCCAATTTATGCAACTGACAATCAGGGAAGGAACAATGTTATTACCTCCACGGGTCTAGCCAGGAGTCTGGGAAGATGCTCCCCCTCTTTAAAATAACCAGATTGTACTGTCAGGATCAATCAGCTACAGGAATGTTCTTCCTCCCACTTCTCATCAAACACACATTTAATTCTTTTAACAGAGTCCAACATGACTGATGTCTTTACTCCAGATGCCAAAAACCAGAAGTCATCCCACTCAAGCAGCTCCCAGCCAGCCCTAAAATGACCCACAGAACAATGCTCCTGAAAATGTGGGGCTGGAAGAAGAGGTAATGATGCCAATGTTGCTGCCTCATGGCTGAATAGAGAACTTCTGAAACACGCGATAATATTCACCCTGCCTCAGAGCACTGGGACCACAGCAGAGCCACTGCGCACCTCCTCCCTTGGCCCCAGACCAACACCAGCCCACTTTATTTCTGTCTGTCTCTTTAGCAATGATGGCAGTGGTGGCGGCGGCAGACTGGGACTCTGTTCCTTCAACTTCTACCATCAAAGCAGAGGGTCCAGGAAGCTTTGTTCTTAGATCCCCAGTGGTCCTTGCATCCACTGAGGATGCCCATCCTCCTCTCCCACCAAGTTTGTGCGGCATTACTCCCACTTGAATACTTGTGCCTCCTCACATACACTCTGCCTCACCTCATGCTTCTGGTGCTTCATCTCAGGCTATAGATTTACATGGTCAGCTTGGAACCTAGCCAATCGCTTCTCGGAGTAGATGTAGCAACTTGGGCCTAGGGCTTTAGGAAAAGGACTTCTCCTGAATCTTACTCTTACAAGGGTGATAACACAGGTAGTACCAGGAAAGTTTGAAGAACAGATTCAAGAGTCCATAATTCGAAAAACTTTCATCAAGCCTATACTATGTGTATTCTTCTGGGGATACAATCAGACACAGTTCCTGACCCACAGAAACATGGAGGCTGGTGGCAGAGACAGATATACACACAATTACAAAATAATACAATCTTGCTGCAACAGAGGGATGTACAAGGTGCTATGAGATATTAGAGGCAGAAGAGATTAACTGTTCGGGGAAATCAGATTCGGACTCCTAAGCAGGAGTCCAGACAGAAATGGATGGGAGTGGAGCTAGCACTCTGAGTAAAGTAGCATGTGCCAAGGGGCAACAGACAATGGCCAGGAAGCTAGGGGAAGAGCTGAAGGAAAACATTTTGCAGAGCACAGAACACAGAGGGAGAATGTGATAGGGAAGAAAAACAGTTTTGGCTGTGATGACCCACCTTCACGGCTCTCTCACTAATAATGGAACAGTAATAAGGTACAGCAGGGTACAGTAGCAGCAGCTACAGTCTGCAGAGCATGTGCAAGCATTTCTCACTACTCCTAGTCCTTACAACCACCCTTCACTCTGCCCATTCACAAGAAAATGAAACTTAAGGACGAGCCTAAAAACATACACCTTAGTGACAGATTAAGGACTCAAACCTAGGTCTCCTGGATCCAAAGCCTGTACTTGTTCTACTACATGTAATATGAACTTGAAGAGATACAGGTGACTCTTCCCAGTGAAAACCAAAAGAAAAAACAAATCTTGTATAATTCATGGTGCTGGGCAAAGTTAATGACAGAAAAAAAATCAGTCACCATTTTCCGTTTAGTTTTCTTGTGCACCATATTCCACATGGAGTCCCCATCCCCACTCTGGCTTTTCCTCAGGCCTTCAACACCAATATGCTATGGCCAACATCATACTTAAAGATGAGAAACTCGAAGCTTTTCTATTAAGATCAGATACAAAGTGAGGACGCCCCCTGAAACTACTCCTTTCAATACTGTCATCTACGTAGAAAATCCAAATAAATAAACGAAAAAACTCCCAGAAAAAGCAACTATATAGCAAAGTTGCAGGATATAAGGTTAATATATAAAAGTCAAATGCTTTCTTATATACCAACAATAAACAAGTGGAATTTGAAATTACCATAGTCACTCATTCATGTTAAGGTAAATTTACTGGGTGAACCTTGTGAGGCAACAAAGCCCAGAAGAATGAGAATGAGTTTGAGACTAAGACTTGGGTTACAACTCAGCTCTGCCATTACTCTGCAACTCTCAACAAGGTAGATGACCTCTCTTAGTTTGCATTTAGGTATCTGTAAGTATGCTACTACTTAGCTGGAAGGGGTACACAGACTTCTGTTCACACAAATTTTACTGTACTGTAATGATGTCACTAAGTCTCCATTGCACTGGAGTTAGCAGTTCTCAAGGGCTGAGGGCAGGGTTTGTGGTACCACCTGCTAGGGGGTATTCTGTCATATGAGCAGAAGGGCCAGATTGTTAATGCCTGAAGGATGTTGCTGGCATTAAGAACCTAAGGGCCAGGAAAGCTAAATGTCCTGCAATGTAAGGGACAATCATACAATACAAATTGTTCTGCTCAAAATGGTGGTAAGAAACACACCACTGAAAAACACTACAGTCAATAGTAGTATTTTTATTGTTCATCTTTATAGTATTATGTATATGCTTTTGAACAAATTGGATTAAAGCCAGGTATGTCAAAGGTACTGAACAAATTGGATTAAAGCCAGGTATGTCAAAGGTACAACTGGGCCACGTAAACCACAACTGTTACGTTTTCTTATGCTCAATATATCATTTAGTACTTTAAGACATATTTGAGTAGACCAAATGGTGTGCTTTGAGAATTCCTGTCAGGACAATGCTGACCTCTTCTGTTAAGCAATCCTTGTTTAGCTGTGTGTCCACTTCCATCTGAATGGAGCCTAGCTAGACCAGGAACTAGGGCAATGAGACACAGAAGTTTTGGCAGCCATCCTGAGGCAGAAATTTCTGACAGAATTTGTTTTTACCCCATTCATGAATCTGAGGAACCAAGGTCCACTCCCTACTTACCTTTTGCAAATCAATGGAAAGCTGCTGAATGAATGCTTGGAGCTCTTGTTCTTTTTGCTCCAGGACTGTGATCTTGATTTCTGCATCTGTTTTTGAAGCTTTCACATGATCTCTTCATTGAAACAAAGCAAACAATAAACACATTTGGATATTTCATTTAAGGCACACTCTTGCACAGGAAAAATACAGATGGTTCTTTACATGTCAGAGCTGCAAACATTAGCCATGTGAAGGTTATCAATGGAGAAGACTCCTGGCTCTTTCTGAAGCAGAATCCCAAAGAAAACAATTCCACCCAGGTTTAAGTGAGAAATCTTGATCTGCCTTCAGTTACTGAACAGCTTACAGTCTGAATTGCTTGGTAGGGCTGGAGGGTCCTCAGGTTAGGCAGGTGAAGAAGAGTGAGGGTTTTGGGGGAGGGGGAGATCTGAGCCCTAGAGAGGTAAGGATAAGTCCAGAAATGTCTGTCAGGACTGAGATCAGAGAGGGATTGAAATGAGCAGTAGGAAAGGCAGGTGGGCTAGAGCTGGAGCTACACTGACACCTCTTCCCGCGGGCCCCACAGACCAAGCGAGAACCTCTGCTCTTCCAGCGTCGAGTAGTGTCTCTGCAACTCCTCTAGCTTCCCGCGAAGGTCTGAGGACAGCTGACTAGAGGTCAGCAACTCCTCCTGGGTGTGAAGAAGTTCTCTGGTTCGTGCCTCCAACTCTTGCTCCATTTTCCCCAGACTTTCTTCTTTTTTTAAAAGCTGTTACAAAGATAAAAAGTTTCACTGGACAATTATTAAGAAATGTATATATTTTTAAAATCTGGACAAATAAACCAAACTTTTACAACATTTTCTGTGACCTTATATGGGGCTTTATATGCCCAGTAGTTAAAAAAGAAAGAGAAGGAAAAGGCAATAGATTTCAAACAGAACTCTTCCATTTTAATAAACTGAAAAACACAAATGGGATTAATGTCAAAGACTACTAGGGCATGTTTATCAGCAATGAGAGAGTGATGACTAGCAAAATCAGAGTAATTAATCATCTATTCAGCATTTAGCTACTAAAACAATAATGCGCACCATGTGTTTGACTTTACTTAGTTCCTGCTGCTGGAATCCCTCTAATTCATCCATTTCATCTCTCCTTTGAAAAAGATTCAAACTCTGGTTCTTCATCTCCTGTAACTGAGCTGTCAGAAACCTCTTCTCCTATTTGGAAGAAGATGACATCAACTAAGGTCACTAAGACATTAGAAATCTATATTATGTAAGCAGAATTCTGAATAAAGGAAAATCTTAAGGAAATCTCTTGTCAGTGGACAATACTAAATTGATAATAGGAAGCTTTACAGTAATATGACCTATATGGCATTACCCACAAGTTCTTTTAAGTTAAAAATAAATGTTTTTTAAATGACAGCTGTGAATAAGGGGAACAAGAGCAATAATTACTTAACACTTAAAGTTCTTAAATGTGATCAGCAATTCCGGATACCCATTTTACACATCTATTCTAAGTGACACACTGAACTGTCTGAACAACAGTAACTGGAGTATGATGGAATGCCATTAAAGAACTAGATGTACTTAAGTAGAATTGATTTCAGTTACCAAGTTTAGTTAGCAAGTCAACAAAAACTAGACATGATTGGGGTCAGCAGGTTACAATTTACTAAATGACAGCTTCCCAAGATAGATTCTCTCAAAGACAAACCCTATTGCAGTTTCCAATTCTTGATTGAAAGGAAATTAAAAGTCTAAAAACAACACTTTCAAGAGTCACAATGGCATCACAGACCTGCATGAATGTCTCATTACTCTTTCCCAGTCTAAAATATTTCCCACCCGCTCCTTTGTTGGGGGGGGGGGTGGTAGGGGAGAAAAAGAGTTCCCTTACTGAACTGAAAGAGGTTTTATTTAGTTCAACGGATCCCCCTTCACCATAATTTTAAAAGATAAAAAAATAGTCCAATGAGAATTTCAATTGTTACTATCTTAAGAGTTTTTTTTAAGACAAGAAAATTTTAACCTAACCCATATCTCACACTTAAGGAAATCACCATTAGCACCATGTTTAGAGATTTTTTTTCTAAAACACAAGTTTCTCTGGGAGACGGCTTAACTTTTCTGTAATTCTTTCCTTACATAAATATGTTAAAGCATTTGGATAGCTTGATAATCACGTTTCTACAGAGCACCAAAAGAAAATCACTGGTTTAACTTTTGTGTTTTATCCCAAGAATGGAGCAATAATAAATTCAATCTGCTTAATAAAATTAACAGTAAGTATATTTTGCAACTGAATATATCATCTAAGAAATAATTTTTCTACCATAAAGAGTAATTTAGGAGTACTCCATGAAAACAAGGAATTAAGTGGGTAGCAGCATATAATTCAGGCTGTGGAAGCTAACTATTGATTATTTTAAATTAAAGTGTTTTTCTGGAGAAGATAAGTAATGACTCTGTAACATCTGACTACACTGATAGATAGTGATTGCAATGGGGTGTCGGTGGGGGAGACTTGATAATATGGGTGAATGTTGAAACCATGTTGCTCACGTGAAACCTTCGTAAGACTGTGTACCAATGATACCTTAATAAAAAAAAAGAGGAAAAAATAGATTAACTAATTAAAGTGTTTTTCTAATTGTGGGTTTGGAATTTCATTTTCCTGTTCATGTCTGGGCACCAGGAATACATTACGTTAGGCACCCACACAGTGTTGCACAAGCTATGGTGCTAGAATAATCAGTTTTCCTCATCTGTGTGTAGCCAAGAGGTTCTTGTATCTGCTCAATGTTGAGCCTTGAGAAATGCCCTCCTTCCCCTCAAAATTAGGTAACATACCTAGTGTTACCACAGTGTCAATCAGGACCCCAGTAGGAAATACATGGCAGACTCAAATTAGGTATTTTCAGAGATTTTAATTAAGGGACTTTTCAAAATTGTCGGTGGGGTAAGAAAGCCAAGAGATAATGTGCTACCGATAGCTGAGCATGAAGGGGCGAAGGAGCAAAGGGATGATGAGGTCACAAGAAACCCAGGAAGAGAAACTATGTCAAGAGGGAAAACCAAAGGTAAACCAAACTGGAGCTGTAACTTTTGGCCGTGGGATACAGCTAACCTGAGGCGATACCGCATGAAGAAGGCTGGAGAAATAAACATCCCAACCACATTCTTGGTGTTCCCCACTGGCAGAACCCAATTCAAAGCCGGAAGGCAATGGAGCCCTGCTGACGCAGTTCCTCTCAGCCTTCGGGCCCACAGAGGAAGATGAGAGGCGGAGAGCATCTTGTGAGGGACAAACAATAGGTATCCAGCATGCCCACCAACAAAGGGAAGACATGAGCTTTTCGAGTCAGTGTCTAATCATCCAGTACCCTGCTTCCAAGAGGTGCTACAGTAATCAGTACACTGGGTACTGGAGAAACCATTTTCCCAGCCCCTAAGGAGACCCATGTCCATGATGAGACAAAAATAAAGAGGGACTGACCTTTTCAAGGTAATCCATTTTTTCTGACCATTCCTAAAACAAAACAACAAAAAAGTATAGTTTCCGGGGAAGAGTATCAGTAATATCAAGATTTTCAGATATTAAACAAAATTAAAACAAAACAACCTAACTCCCCCTCAAAAGCAACGAAACAGAACAGCAAATTAAAAAAATCCGTGAAGTTGGCTTAATTTATGAAAGCCAAGAGTCCTAAAAGGAGAAGAAAATGAACCCTTTATAAAACTCTAGAACATAAATTTAAGCCTGCAGATGTCTGCTGAGCAGAGCACCTGACAAAGCTCTACCTGCTGTTCTGGTGCAGCTTTTCAGCTTCCTCAGAGTGTTTTCCCATGAGTACTATTATTTTTTGGGAGCAAGTAGCTAGGACCATTTGAAATGGTAACTTCAATTGATGTTTAGAAATTAATTTGCTGAAGGAATGGAGTCTTCAATAGCCCCTGATAATAACCTTCCTTCTTATCTTGATTTTACCAATATACTTTATGCTGCCTGGTGCAAGTTAAAGGAAAGGGATTATGCCCCTTATTCACAAATCAGAGAACAGGGCAAAAAATAACCATTGGTACAAAAGACCATATCCCAAGTGCCTACAATCAGAACCCAACAATTTTGGATTATATCTTAATTAATATACACTTATACCATAGTTATCCACTAAGTATTGGTGAATGTTTTTCTCTGGCTAGTAAATGTCCTAGATGACTAGTACACACTTTCAAACATACCAACCAACTGCCCTACCTACTGTAGTATAGCTGAAACAAATTATAAATTTTCTTATATGAAATACAATAAATTGACAGTCTTAATACATCAGGATTCTCATTATATCTTGATACTTCTCTTAAATTTAAAATGTCATTGAACAAAATATACTTCATAATTATTATAAGAGCCATTAATAGAACTGTTTTTCTTTCTTACTGTCATTCTTTCGATTTGTCAGCATCTTTCGATGGATGGTTCTGATGAGATTTTAGGAATTCCTTTCTGTCTAGCTGGCTGGGGTTGAAGAAACTTGGGAAGATAAATTTTAAGAACTATGTACATCATGGATGATGGCTAGTTTGATAGCACCTTCTCCACTACAAAACGCAAGTGTTTGCGGTCTAGGCTTTGAGACAGGTTTTTAGAGGACAAGACCTTTTTCCTCATCTTGGGACTTGCCACCAGATTATAGACATACTATTTTCCTTCTCCACTTTACAAAGTTACACGGTTGCAGAAACTCTCACATTCTGGACCAATTTCATGATTATAAACTTTCTCGATGACTACCCACCATACGGCCAGATGAAATCTAAAAAAACGTATATAGCATTTCTTTTCTCCTAGCCTGTAAATATTTTCTCCTAGCCTGTAAGTATTTTCTACCAGGTTTTTGTTATGATTTTTAAATCATGTCACTAAGTGAAATATTTTCACCAGTCTTGGGCAGGGTCACATACAAAATACCTGGTCCTTTCTGGCTAATGCCAAAGCCAGTCCTTCTGCCATTTTGGCTCTGTTGGCCTGGAATGTTTCATTCTGCTCTTGAAATTTCCGCATGGAAGCTGTTAACAAAGAGGCTCTATTTGAGATATGGAAATATTTCAGATACGGCATGACAAATAGCCCATGTGATTAATTTACAATTGTCATCTAACAAAAAAGATCATGGTCATGGAAGTGGATTATGAAACTGGGAAAAACCTGATCTATCTTGACTTTCCCAGAATCTTAGTAATAGATCAGTTTTTTGTGTGTTTCCTGTTTTTTTTTTTTTTCTGTAATAGTCAAATATATACATATAGGTAAATGCCAAAGGTAACTTTTTAAATGGTACTAGGATACAACACTTGAGTTAAATAGGTAGCCAGAAAACACCAATGCAGTTGCTAAGTGGTGGCTACCACCACTTTATCAGAATTAAAAACAAAAACAGAAATCAAACCAAGGCAAAAAAAACTTTCTTTTCTTTTAAAAATTAAGAAGACAACAGAAAATACCTTTCTCTTTCTGTTGCATCTTTCTTGGACTGAGCTCAAAGGAGAACACAGGACTTAGGGTAGACTAAATGCAGTGTGGGTCCCATTGTTGGAGGAGTGGTGACAGGTAGGGACGTCCGCCTGTTACTGAGCATAGCAGCTCGAACCAAAGTCTCCTAATCCAGGCCCAAGGGCCAGGCACTAGATTTTACTGAAATCTAAGGGCAGCCAATAAACTGGTCAATTGGATGGAGACAAGCTGTTCCAAATAATGACCATCCTCCTAAGGAGCATGCCCATAAGGCAACATGAGTTGTACACTTATAAATATCAGACAAATGTTATTTCAACATGATTAAGAAATACACTACTTATAAAGATTTGAGCTATGATGAGGGACAAACTTAATCACATGCTATTGTTTCATTTCAAAAAACTAAGCTCTGAGAAGATTAATAAAAAAGCAGGAAAAAAAATACGTACAATCCTGGTGTTTTTCTAATGCAATTTCAAGCTTCTCTTTTATCTTCTGCAAGTTTCGGACCTGTTCAGCATAGTCTTGGGTGAGGTGGGTGACGCACATACCAGGAATGGACAAACATCAGGAAAGGAAGTTAATTAAACAAAAAAAATGAATGAAAATGATGATGATTTTCTCAATCTGAAAACCATACCTGTTAAGGAGAGCTAGGCAGACAGCCTCCCATTAACAACGAACAACACAGGCAAACAGGTAAAGCACAAACTATCCACAGTGTAAACAGTGAATACACACAGGCAGGTTTGTTTAGCCTGGAAAAAGGACAAGAACTGGGCCTGGTCTAGTCATCAAAAATGCCCTGCACTGAAAACCGGTATTATCTCGTTACTTAAATTTCAAATCTCAGTTTTCATTTCCTCAGCAGCAGATCAGGGAACTTACTACATAAGCAGCTCACTTCTAGTCATATAACTGTGTCACAGTGGTCAGGGCAATAGCAAACACCTTATCACAGTACTGCCTTTTCCATGAAAGTACTTATTTCTCTAAAAAGTCAGCTTCCTTCCTACACGGGAACTGAACTTCCTATGCTATATTGAAGGTGAATTCATTTTCTGGGCGATGGGGGGGCCAAAGAAGAGACCACAGTAGAAAAGTAGACACACTTTAGTTTAAATCCTACCTCTCCCAGTCCTGTGCTGAGAGATGTTAAGAAAATAACTGATTCTAAGTATTAGATTCTTCACTTATCAAAATGGTAATATCAACTGTACCTACTTCAGAGGATGCATTTGATAATAAACTGTTTTATATGCCTTGGGTAATAAACCAGTGTTCTCTAGGCCTAAGCACCTGGCACACAGTGCTCAATAAAAAGTAGCCACTATTGTTGTTACCAGGATTCACAGTGAGTCTGTAGGAAAATACCCAGGATGTAGGTGGGCTCAGTAAACGTCAGTTCTCTTTCCTGTCCCTTCTTGAGACAAAAGTCAAGCCTGAACTATTCTTCCTTCTATACTGGGGAAGGTATATTGTATAATTTTCTACCCAAGATTAAACAAGTATAAAGCCATTTCACCTCTGCAGCTGACCTTGTTTATACAGGTAGGGGCAACAGGATAGTTAACAGTTGAGTTTAAAGCAGACTGCAGTTAAGAATATGGACTCTAGCATTAAGATATCTGGGTTTGGACGCCTCCTCTACCACCTATTGTGTGATTTTTAACCTCATTGAGCCTGTAAGGCTACAGTGAAGACCTAATGAGATGACTGGCTAACTGGTACCTGTGAGCTATATGAGTGGCCTTTGGTAACTACACAAACACAAATATCACACATACAATTTGATGACTTTTGTAGTGTGTTGCTTTCACTCCAACAAAATAGGCATAAGGCCAAGGGACAAAAAGAAACACAGAAGCCACTGACCACTTCACAAGATGAAGCTTTCAAAATGTATCCACTGACAGAAACCAGAATAAGAACTCACAACTCTATCATATCATGCCCTGTGAAGGCAAAAGATATAACGGGAGTTGCATAAATTGTAAACTGCACACAAAGGATATAATGAGAGTTATAGCTTTTATGTAAGTGTTGAAGTTAGAAATGTCACTGAAAAGTGGCTCAAAGACCCAGAACGACACTTAGAGTTGACATGTAGCTGTAGCAAATGGCAACATGGCACCAAGCTTTCTCTGGTGCTGAAGAATCTAGTATCTGTAACTATTACTCCCTACTCCTCATCTAAAGCAAACTATGCTAACGGATGAAAGATGGTCAAATCTATTCTACATATACTTTTAATACCTTTCATATCCATGGCTAGAAACCTCAGGAGCAGAAAATGTAAGTTTTTTTTTTTAAACCTTAAAACTCAGTTTTGAATTTCTACTATTTAGTACACTAACAAAAGAAGGGAAAAATGGGGATGTAAATTGCTCCTTTTTGACCAAGATCAAAATATGTCAAAATAACTATAAGGTTATGTTAAATGGCTATTTTATAGGGTGAAAGGGTCAGCCAAAACAAATTTTCTGTTTGGTTTTATGAATTCTTGGACATACCAGAAAGTCTGGCCTCTAACTTCCGTATCTGTTCATTCCTTCTCAAAAGCTGAGACGAAAGATCCTCTCTGGAACTGCTACCATCAGAAGCCTGTTCAGACAGACACAAGAGGAGGGTGGATTCATACATGGGTTTTCAGCAGTGTAAGACTGCAGTACTGAATCGGAAAGTGACAACCTTTCTTTTAGGTTTGGTAACACTTTAACTGTGGTCATTGGAAAGCTTTTTAACATACCTAGGCCCTAGCTTCTCTACCTGTAAAATAAAAGGAACACTATCTTCCCTATAATGGGAAGGAGCTATAAGATGCTAAACAGATAAATTACATGTGTCTGTGTGCATACATGCTATGGGAATAAATGATGGTAAACAAATCCACTACAATTATACTACACCAAATATACAATATAAAAAATATTTTCAGTAATAAAAAAGGGAAGCAGTTTATTTTTCCAAAGGTAAAACCCTGGGATAAAGGGGGGAAGGTAGTTTAGCGAAGTATCAAAACGGTCTGTGATGAAGAATCTATCACTGACGCTGGAAAAGTTTCGGTATTGTCATCCACAATGAATCAAAGACTTTAGCAGATAATATGCACTCAACAGTCAGCATATTAATGAGACATCAAAGACAGGGAAGCCACTGAGGAGCTTCAAGCATTGGAGAGACATGAACAAATCTGCTTTGGGGAGTTACTGGAGGCAGGGAGCACAGATTAAGTTACCACATTTGTCCAAGAAAGAAAGACAGCCTGAAATAAAAAGGAAGTAAATGTACTACCAGTAAATGGAGTAGAGAGAGCAAGTTTGAGATATTTAGGAGATGGAAGCCAAAATACTGCTGACTGACTGCATGCAAGGATATGACGGAAGGAAGGGTCTAAAATGCCTCCAAGGTTTCTTGCTGGCGACTTGGCAGGTGATGGTACACATCTGAAAATGGAGTTAATTAATTATGTCCATTTTAGAATTTGAGAAACCAGAGGAAAGGCATCTGGTTGAAGAAATATATGCAGTGGGATATAAGGATCTGGAGATAGGGAGTGAGGATCAGAATGTATACATAGTAAGTTCAACAGATGACTTTAGAAGTCTCAAAGAAAAGTATGAATTCAGGCCAACCTCTGTATCTCGAGTTCATTTGAGATGAGAGACTTCATTTAGTGTGTCATCTTGAAGGCAAAGCAGGTACTTCTGCCACAGAACTCACCATTAAAACTGTACCATGTCCTTCAGCCTGGTGATCAAATGTGTATTTATATTTCCTGGGCCGTATACCAGCCAATGATTTAGATCTGGCAACCTTACTGTTCCATCCCAATAACCTAATAGCTCCAGCCACGTCATCTGACCTAAGACTGGCAGTATAAGAGAGGAGGAGGAAGACTCATCTGACTATGAAAATAGCTCAAGTGTCTATCACCAGGAAAAGACAGACTGCGGCCTTGTCAAACTGCGGGATCTTACATAGCAGTAAAAACAAATGAACCACAGTTTCGTGGAATACAGATGCATTATAGAAACATGCTAAGTAAAAAAAAAAATCCAAGAAGACTACGGTGTACCAGTTTTATAAAGTTCAAAATTAAGTAACATAGAACAATAAATTGTTTGTGAATGTATATGTATCTTTAAAAGCAAGGGAATAAAAAATACAACACTTAGGGTAGTGGTTAACTGGAGCGGTTAACAGGGAGGGGGAAAAGGAATTGGGAAGGATTATACAGGAGGCTTCAACAATATCGATAATGTTCTACTTTTTTGGATAGGCAACAGATTAACAAGAACTCATTGTATTTTTATGCTTTATTCTTTATATTTATGCTACCTATATTCTCTCACATATACCAAGCATTATAAATATATATTTTTAAGTTATCTTTTAGAGGATCCTGTCATATGCTAAAGACATGCTTTTAAATTCTAAGGCATGAAATGTATCAAAAATAAGAAAAAAGAAATAGAGCACCTCAGACTAAGAAGACTCAGGTATAAAATACAAATATTCTTGCAATTTTAAAGGAAAATACTTACTGGAGGGATTCCCTGAAATATTATTTTAAAAATATACTTGACTGTACTGAATACTGAAAACTAGAGAAGATACTTACGAAGTCATCTCCTGAGTCAGCTCCCATAGAGGCAACCGATTCCTTGCTCACTGACCGTGGTATCCTAGTAGCACCTCCTGGCCTCTGGGTGACAGCAGTCTCTTCTGCAATTTTCTTCTTTAGTTTTGCAAACATTTTTGCAGTATGGCTATCCTGCACTGATGACCAGCTTTTCAACCACCACAGTAGACCTTAATCCTTAGTCCAGCAAACAGGAATTCAGAGACCAGTGCCTAAAAAGTTCCAGACATCCAAGCTAGCTGCATTCCCATTTCAATGTAAGCAAAGGGCTTATGGCAACACTGTATCTATAAATCAGATGAAAGAGCTCTAAGTTAAACATTGGAGAGATTTCACATCTGAGTTATTTTAAGCTTCAGGTTTCAAAATTCAAGTTTCATAATTTTGCATGCACACTTATTAGAACACAATTACCAAACGTTTAAAAAGCAGTCAGGTGCTTTGTACACACAGATAAGGAAATCTAGTTTGGAGTACATGAAGTAACCTGCCAAAGATTGTATGGCTAAGTGGCAGGGCTGGTATTTGAACCCAGGACTCTGACTCACAAGTTTGCTTTTTTCTTTTTTTAATTACACTACATTGGCTATGGCATATAACACATTTAGAATAATTTCCCAGGGCAAACAGTAACATCACATCATGTTCCTGAATCCTTCCCCCAATATTGAGTTTAACCAGTGGATTGGGGGTTTTGTTGTTTGTTTTATAAGATAAAAACAAAAACATGTAACTCAATACAGGGGAAGGTGTAACATTCTAATGTTATAGGATGGTTTGCAATCAACTGTTTACTAGAAAAAGCTGACAACCGAGAAAAAAATAGGCAGGCCAGATAACTAACTACATTGTACAAATATCAGATATCCTTAAACATTTCACGGAAATGCTTTGTGGTTCTTTTCAGGATGATTAAAATTACCTCAAATCAGTTTCTTTTTCCTCAGAATATTTTGCACGCTATTTAACATGTGATTGAAATGTCTGTTCCTCTCAATGGTGTATAAAACATTAATAACCTGGTTCCAACCTTAACTTTTCATGTTTTGTGATCTATAAATAACTTCTTACCACTTAAGACTGTCCGTTTAAGTCTGAACAATTCTCCAAAAACTTTATCTTCAATGTCTGTAAACCACCTACTCACCTGGCTCATCTATTAGATTTAAAATGGCCTGGAGGTCAAAGCATCCTGTCCTGCATGAAGACAAAGATAAAAGGCACTGGATATTTCCATTCAACCATAAGTTCTAACTGTTGGGAGGCCGTGGAAGTGGAAGAAGGTAGAAAAACTTGGGGTAGGGGGGAGAGGAGGGTATGGGAGAGAAACCTGTCACTTCCACGATCCTCAATGGGCTACCTTCCTACTCCTTAGTCTCCTTTGCATTTGTGATTAAGCCTAAGAGCTTCACTTACAGGTACAGAGGGTGGAATCTCCTAATGCAGAAGGTGCCACAATTCACTTTGCCTTGGGAGCCCTGAGCAAAGCAAGTTCACAGGGCCAGCATTTATTTCTCAGTTGAGTCTGACATTCACATTGTTTACCTGGCTAGACCTTGGGTTGTCTAGTCAGAGAGCCTTGATTCACACTAAGAAAGTCGCTGAGGAAAACGATGGCTAAGTTAGGTAAAAGCTGCCTAACGCCCAGGGAGACTGCCAAGGCAGTTTGGATCCCACTCACACAAGATCCTTCCAGACCCGCCCGTGCTTGGACTGTCGAAAAGGGAGGGGACCCAAGATCTCTCCCTTTTGACAGCAAGGAAACAGATTCAGAGAGGAGTGACTTGTCCAAGGTCGCGCAGAGGGGTACTCCGACACCCCAGGCTCCAGACTCCCATGCCCGGCAGCCCGCAACATCCTCCTTTTAGCACCCCGGTCCCGCCCCCCGTCTCGGGTCTGGGGCAACGGCGGCCGGGCCGCTTTGGGGACAGACCGAGGCCACCGGGAAAACGAGGGGCCTGCTCGCGTCTCCGGCCCCAGCCCGCGCACCTGCGGCTCTCTGGGTAGCGGGCAGAGCCCCGCCTCCGGAGCTTCTCTTGAGCGCCGGCCCGCGTCACCAGCCCCTCGGCCCGCCAGCTAGCAGAGCAGCGACCCGGAAACCCACGTCCCCAGCGCACCGGAAGTGGCTGCGCGCGGGGGCCCTTTTGCCGCACGCATGCGCTTGCGCGTGGTCTCTGCCGCCGGCGGCGCGAGCTTGCGAGTGGCGGTTGAAGCGGATCTGCTGGAGGGCGCGGAGGCGGGTCGTTCCCTCCTGCCCGCCTGCCACGTCAGCCCGCTGCCGACCTGCAGCAAAGACTATATGGGACCAAACCTTTCTTCTGCTATTTTTAAAGGGGGCGGCGCGGAGCTGGGCGAGTGGGAGGAGCGATGGGACCTGCGTCTGCTTACCTGGGCCGTGGCTCCGCAGGCTAGCGCGGAGCTTCCATTCTTCCCTAATCCCACTGCACCCCGCGCACAGTCGTCTGTCACGGTACTAGGCGACCACTGCAAGTCCGTACCTCCAGAAACTGGTACTGGGACCTCTCACCAAGTGTTTCAGTTTTCGTGCCTTTCGACCTGCAGTAGGTTATACGTTTAATTTCGCAACCGAGGACACACATAATGTACCATTGAAAAAGTTTCTAGAATCGTAACCCTTATTATGTAAGGCACTCCAATATATTGCATTTCATTAAAAAATTATGCTGGTAGCAGCCCGCTAAATTCATTTCACTATCCACTAATAGGCCTACAACTTTTGACATATAAAGGATGTCCAGAGACGTAAATCTGCCTTATTGAAAATGACAGTACAAATCAACCCACGTCGGGTCTCTCGACTCAGTGCCGACCAAGCCAGACATTCCACATTAAAGTTGCTCTTTTTCTGGCTCCAGACCTAATACCATCCAGAGGCATAGCAGCTACCACCAACCCCTAAAACAAGCCCTCCCTCGGCGTGTCCCAGTTCTGACCAATGGGAGCAGGGCTAGCAAAAATCTGACTAGGACTCCGAAGAAATGTACAAACTAGGATAATATAAACATCAGATACAAAACCTCACCAAAGTTTGTAAAGTGTCTGAGGTGTTATCTGAAAGAAGCAAGCCTTAACAGTTTAGCACTTGTCAACAATACTGAAGTACTGAAAACTTTAAGCAAATAATGTTTATTTTTATACTGATGATACACTTAGTATATACGTGGATTCAAGATACAAAATTCATTTACAAGAGTTCACACCCTATGAATGTAGTCAATTCCTAGAGAACATTTATCAATGCAAAAATGTCAATACACTGACAACAAAAATAAAATGTTCTGAACCTTGTTATTCAATAAACATAAAAACAACACGTTTAACTTTCCATCCTCTAGTATTGAGTACCTTCACGATGGTAGGCACCGTGTAACAGAAGAAAACATAGGAAAAAGAAGGGCCTACTGAATCGCTCTGCAGAATCACAGTGTTTACTCTGAAATTTATTTAGTGTAATTAGTGAAAGGCTTACTATCCTTTATGACAAATCACATACTAATACAAGAGTAGAAGTGATGAACTCAAGAAAATGTTTAAATAACTTCTCAATTTCTAAAGTCTATGAAAGTATCAACCACAAGAGACAAAGCAGAAAAAGGCTGCTGAAAAGGAACACAGCAGGAAAACATTCTTAAGAATATATATGGCTTAAGCAATGTAGAAACACAACAGAAGACTTTTACAATACTACAAATGTTCAAGTCAAATGATACTGACAATATAATTTTTGCCCTTAGTCACTGGTAATAAACAGCCCCTTCAAATTTATTCTACTGATAACACATATAAAACTAATGAATCCAATGGTTTGCTGTCATACAGAGCTGAGTTGATGGATTTTGTTGTAAAGTATTAACCCACAATACCCAAAATTTAATACAAATGAGCAACAAGACTACATCTCAGGATTACAGTGATTTGTGAATAGCTATATAGGCAACGAAAAAGCTTCATTATTTGCACGATAGATTTGCAGCACTTGGATAAGAAGTGTTACGTGAAAATTATTGTGCTTCAATCTCTTGAGGAGAGCTAATAAATATAACTCTATTAATCCCTATAGTGTTACAATTCTATAACATTTCAGTTAAAGACAAGCACAATTTTTAAAGTGTTTCACACCACTAGAAAATCAAGTAATTATATTCTCCAAATGTAATTCTGCTATCATTGAGACAAGTGCATTTATGTGTAATATCCATAACATAGATAATAGATTTCACCATTATTTTCAGGGAAAAAAGATCAAACAACTTGTTTTAATTCCTATTTGATTATCTTAACCTTTAGTAATGATTTGAATAAAGAAAAAGGATATTCAATCTTATAATGGAAACTGCTCAGAGAAAACAATGTGGCCTGAAATGACAATAATCCTTAGGGCAAAGTAAGAAATGATTAATAACTGCTTCATCTGATTCAATGATTAATGAAACCACTATCTGTACTGGTGCTATACAATGAAGATGACTCATTTGAATAAATTCTTTGCCTTGTAAGCTCTACTGTGAAAATGTTAGGACATCGTACCTGCTTTTCCTATTACCTAAGTCCTATTTACTTCAACTGGAGGAAGACTCCAAATTATAAGCCTCTGATCACTGAATGGAAAGGTACATTAAGAACAAAAAACAGTTGGAGAATTAGCCATATAGTCTATATGGCAAAAGGAATGTATCCACATAACTATAAAAAGCCACAAACACAAAGTCCTAAAATATTTTACTGAACTATTGAAAAATCTTTTTAATAAAAAACAAGAGTTAAAAAAGAAACACCTCACTTTCCAGAATAGTAAAAAAAATTCTTACTGCCCTAAAACATTTAAAGCAATTTTCCCTGCAGATTTTTAAAACTTCACAACACATAATTTGGGGGAAAAAAAAATCAGCAAAATGCAAAGGAGGGTAGGAATGGGATTTTTTTACAGTATGGTGGTTGTTTTTCTATGGTTTGGAAGGATTTACTTTGGGATTATAATATAATCATTTCACATTTTACAATGGCTGATTGCACTGACTTGATGTTTGAGAAAACTTATGGGTCAAATTGTCAGGGTTACAAATCTTAACTTTCAGTCATGGACAAGTGGACATTCACAATGGCTTCAAAGGAGAAAATATTAGTAACATAAAGTTTTAAATATTGTTTACTACAGACCTGTAGGAATGCTAGCTATAATTTTCTATCTCATTCTGAAAGTGATATAGTCACTCAATCTATTAACTTTTGTTTCACAATCCTATCAGAAAAGTAGAAATCTGAACCCTGAAGTTACCAATGTCTTAATAAGTAATACTACACCTAAAAAGATGATTGTCTTTAGGATATAGACTGGAATTGTCCACCAAAATAGGAAAACATTCCCAATTTATAGTCTTGTTCTATGATCAAATTCAGGCTTGATTAAGTGAATCTGGAGTGCAGAATTAATATAATGTACTTCAAACTATTAAAAAACTCTGAATCTACTGTTCAAATATATATATTTTTAAATCACACTGCTTAGAGTAGTTTGATAACTAGTTTAAAAAATAACTAAAAAAATCCACAAAAGAAATTAATAAAAATATTTTAAAATTAAGAAATGGTGCTTCAGTAACAATGTTATGCAGAAACAGAATTCCTAGAAGTCAGTAATTACACCAAACTAATAAGTGAAAAGTACCAATGTGAGCTCAAGAAAACATTTCATATCTACAGAAATCCAAAGGAAAGATTTCTATGGCACCAACAAATTAGTTATACTTAATACATTTATCTTTACCCAATTAAGGGCATGTCTCCCCATACCATTTGATAGATACCCTTCCCTTCAACAGGTGATTGATTCCATTCACACATCATTATTCTTTTTTAAACACAAGGCATGCTTAATAAGTCTCCATGAGTAAGTCTAAGTGAAGCTGGGACACAGTGTAATATTATGTTTTGAAATTCTACTGCGAGGGAGATGAACTGCCCCGCCCCCCCTCCTTTTTTAAGATAAAGTGGTCGCAGGTTCCAGGAAAGAGTGGGAGGTACAGCACAAACAGGTATAAAGTATCAATGCCTAAGCCTACAGGAGGATGGGTGGCGGGGGGAGGACTTGGCCTTCTAAGCAATTCTTATTTTATTTAACTGCAAAGTAACTGGCTTTACAACTGTTAGAGTCAGAGGTCATATTCAGGATGTCAGTCTCATTGACTGCACTTTTATTGCTGCTACTCTCAAGTTAATGTCCACACTGAGCCTGAGGCAGTTCCATGAATTTTAAATAGCATAACATCTACTCCTGCTACTCTCCAGTTGCAACAGATGACTTGGTTACTAAAACAAGGTAACATCAGACCCTATGAACACTTTCACTGATTTTTCAGTAATAGTACATTACCAAATCTTAATATTTAAGAAAAAGGATATTATAACTTTATTTTAAATTTAATACTGTAATTGAGAAGTGTTTATGAATAGTTGGCTGTTTTATTAAAAATACAATGAAGAGGCAAATGTAATGTTTTTTGGATGGTAAAATTGACTCCTGAGTCTAACTTGTCTATTTAAGATAATTTAATGTTGGACAGATAAATTTAATATTCTGAAAAATAATGGGGTAAATTGCTTTGCAGTTGTATTTTTTCATGCAAAAATGACTTCTACTTATTTTCTGCAGTGAATGTATCCAAGTGTATATTAACCATCTCCTACACTCTCCCATGCAAATGAACATGCCCATGAAGGCAGGAGCAACCGAACATTGAGACTCTGATATTCCACAGGTTCACAAATTGGCACTGCACATACTTACTTACTATCCTCTAAGAGGATATCCTCCTCTATCCTTGGTAGAGGTTTGAAGGCCCAGATTTTAAAGCACACCATGCACTTAATATTAAGAACCCTACTTCATGTGTGAACATGTCATCAATTTGCAGAACACAAGTGGTCTCATAGAGACAAAGAAATACAACTGAAGGCATTTTATTCACTGGAAGCCTTTTCTCAGATGAGTATACTCATCTTTGATATGCAACTCCAAAAAGAAAAATCAATAATTGGAGATGCTAAGACAGGACTAAATTAATCACAGCTGCTGCAAATATACAGATTAACAACCCCCTGTTCC